TCTGCTTGGCTGTGCCCACGCTCCCCCGCAACGCCATGCGCTTGCCCTGTGCATCACACCACCACAATAGTACAGATTTTAATTTCTGCTCCCTATATGAACATATATAGGTTCAAGTTAGCAGCCACACACTGAGCAGGAATCACTTAGTGGCTGCTAAAGCCAGTGCAGTCAGATCAAGAATGCCAGGACAGCTTTTGAAACCACGGGTAACCACTAGGTAATGGTGGATACCAAGACTACCTGATTACATTAAGAGTGTTCCTAGCAAAGGTCAAGACTCTCATTACCTTCACCAGAACCACAATACCTCTTTGTACATCTTCTCCTCATACAAGCACTAGAAGCAGAGATTAAGCCAGACTGGGTCAACTTAAAGCTAAGTGAAAAGCTTCATGCCTTCAGACGTCCTCATTCACTTCAACTGAGAAGAGCAGAAGGTCAATGGGATTTATTTTTTTCCCCAGCAGAAGATGCACCTTTGTGTATCAAGCAATAAAGTTTACCCAGTTATTCTTGTAACTTGCTAAGTCAGCACTTCTCTATTTGTAAAGAAAACACAACACAATATACCAGAGCAAGCAGATTGTGAACAGGAGAAGAATTAAGAGAAAAATAGATAATTCTCTTTTAAAATAGAACTGCACGAGTAAAATGGCAGCACTTGAGCACAGAAAGCATTAGAGGCACGAATAAGAACAGAGGCCACCAGCTTCTGAAACTCCTTGGCTCTACTAGAATAGTCCTCTGTGGTTAAGTCCATCCAGATATTTACTGAGAGCCTGATACTTGCTTTAATTGGCAGCAAGACACTGAACAATAGATAGTCTTGTCTTAAATCTAAATTAGCTAAGTAGCATTAGACAAAACACAAAAAAAATCTTGTCATTTGAGAGCATGTAATTTTAACTAAAAACCCCAAAATAATAGCTTTGGCAGTCCCAGATCCTCCAAAAACAATAGATGTCTCCTATCCTCTACCATCAGCCTCACCTGCACATCTTCACATGCCCGTCACCTTGCTCCCTGTTCCTGCACCCTGCAGGCAGGACCCCCACGCCAGCCACAAGCGACTTCTCATTCTTTCACTGCTATGAAATAACTACTCCGTGCCAAATCCGCTGGGGCAAATTCTAAAGCCTCACTCACCACTTCAACCCATTTTCTTTCCCTGCTTTCTGCTGCACCGCCACACACATCGTCTGTCATTGCTGGCTTTCATCTAGACTCCAGTAGGCGTGAAAGAGTCACAAAAATAACTGTTCAGGCATCGGAGATCAAGGTTTAATTACTGCTTGCATTTCTGGTGCAAGTAATTGGCGCACGAGTTTGACAAAACACACGCTGCATTCAGGGCAAGGGAGCTGACTGAATTACCTGTGGCAGAAAACAAACAAAAGGACAAGGAGAAACTGCATTTGCAGTAAAGCCACTGCCATGCACCAGGCTTTGTACCCTGTTGCTGTCGTTTGAAGATCCATACTTATTCTCATCTCCCATTATTATCTTAAATCAGGCTCTATTGCATCAAAGATAGAAGAAATTATCTTTGTGGACCGGGGTACAGCAGAAGTCAGGATATTTAGCTCTGCAGAAGGAGCAGGGAGACCAGCAGCAATGCCAAAGCCCTGTCGGGACTCCTCCGACACAGATCGCCCTCCGTCTCCAGCCATTCGAAGTCAGATGCTGCCATCTGTTGACAACCTCCTACTGCAACAATAAATAGGTATTTCTCTTAATGCACAGCAGGTGGTTTGAACATGTTTTATCCTTTTATTAAACAATGGCATAAGGAGGAATGGCAATCGGAAATACTGATCATGTATCTGACAGCAGAAGTGAGACCAGGCTGTACCCTGCAGATGCATCACCAACCCCCTCCCAACTACTTCCTACTTAAACAGTTCTCTCAAACCAAATTAAGTTCTTGCCCCGTTTTACCACCTGTGAGTAGCACCACCACCGCTTACCTTCCCATAATCAGCTGAGCAGGTAAGAAGGGACTATAGGAAGTGCAGCATCTCCATACTCATTCCATACCGTAACACGACTAGCCTCTCCACCACACGACAGCCAGGTGAGCTGCCGCACTCACACGGACCTGGGTGTTGAGATTTGGCTCAGCAAGTAGCACATGTCTGGCCAAAAGGCCAAGACTTCCCTCTACATCTTGAGAGGGTATGGAAGGGAGACAATCACTTCCAGACTCGTTCAGTGTCAGACTGCAGGGTATCCAGGACAGCACCAGAGGTAAAGCTTGGTAATTCAGGGTTTTGCAGCACAGACGCTTTCCTCAGGTGTCATCCACCTTCCCAGTTTTCCCCACATGAAGGTTAACTGCTTCTGTCCCACTGGGGACTCCTCTGTCATTAACATCCCCTCTGCTCCACAGGTACCAAACACCTTCTCTAAACTAACGCTTTGTCTCAATTGCCAGTTGCAACCTGTACTGGGCCTTTTTTCCTCTCACCTCTCCCCGTTAATCCTTTTATTACCCCAAACAATAGTTAACTGTTGCCTACAAACACTGCTTTGCCAAGGCATCCACCCTCGGCTCGGAAAACATCACTGAGACTTAAAAAAATACCACTTTCAGATGTTAAAAGTGTCTGAGAATAAGAATTTCTGCAAACCCATTTGAAGCAGTTGCGTTGCAGGGCATGTCATAATCCTGCGTGTCAGCTCCCACGTCCCACCTCAGAAGTTTCTTGGATCTCAGCCAGCAGCGACTGCCTGAGAGTAAAGCCCTTGTCAGTGAGGTGCCAGCTCAGAGATCATCTCATGAACTCAGGCCAGCTCCATCAGCTTCCACATGTGGTAAGCTAGCATGTAGCTACATGTGTTAGATACACTGTGGAAAAGGTGCATCTGCTGCTGCATGCTTGCCTCCAAGTCATTCTTTTTACATTGGAGCTCTAATTTCTATTTAATAATTCTACAAAAGTTGTCAGGCTGGCTTGTGAAATAAAAATTAACAGTCTATTCCCAACTGATGTCAGCTGGCAATATCAGAAATTACCCTACTGTAGAAGCCTCTGTAGTAGTAAAGAACATACACAGGTAAACTGGTTCAGAAAAAAAATTACATGTGTGTCCTGTATAAAATTGGTTTAATTCATGAATGTCGAACTAGCAGGGAACTTGAAGCCACAGTAAATTCATCTGAAGGAAGCCTTAAAGCATCACTGACCTTCTTTCACCAGGTATCAGAAACTATTCTGAGTTCTACTCTGGACTGATACAAATCAAGATGTTATAAAAAGGAGCAGTAGAATCTTGGTACTATCTTCAGGGTTACTCCAAGCAAGAAATAGAACAGCTTGTGCGTGTATCAGTGCTTAGTACTGCAGAATTATCCCTGTTAAGGATAGAAACACAACCTATAATAAAACAGCTTTACCTGACAATAAAAAAAGGGGTCAAGACAGACTTATTTTGACTTTGTAACTACTCTAATTCAGTATACAGATTTGTATCCTCAGCTAAGCAAATCTGTGTCTCAAATCAAACAGAGAACAATCCTGATCACATAGGAATGTTTTGATGCCATCTGCAATCCATACTTTGTGACCTTAACCTGCATGTAACCGAGATAAAAGCTAAACTAGCTTTTTTATTATTCCCCTGCTCTTCTCAGTCAGGCTGCAAGTCTGTTATGGGATGCTAGTGTACCCCACCAGGACACATAACTGTAAGCATTCTTTCACAGCTTTGTTGCTACCTTCTTGTTCCTCAGAGAAGGTCCACCACATCAGGAAAGACTGTGCTGCCTGCCTACAGAGTGTCAAAGGCCTGTTTGCTTAGCAGTTAAGCATCACTGCCTCCTTTTCTCCATAAAAAGTACCAGACCAAATTGAAACAGGTTATATGGTTATAAACTACAGAGCTTAAAGACTTTGTGCCCAAAGACAGACACTTCCACCCCAAGGCTCCCTGAAAAGCTTTGCGATGCAGTACCACCTTCAAGGTACAATACTTCTAACTCAAGCAACTGTATGTATAGAGGATCAGGACACATCACCAAGAAGGAAAAATTGTTTCCAACTGTTTGTATCAAGGAACACCACAAATTCAACAGCTGTTTTAAAGCCTGTTGAAATAGGCTTGCTACACCTCAGTAGCCTCCCTCCTAATAAAGACTCCAAACAAAGCAGAATAAGGCAAGGTATTTCCAACTGCTGTTGAAGGACAAGGCAGTCAGCCCAGAAGCTTGCTTCCCATTCTCTACCATCTGCAAGTAGGTCTTCAGCTGAGGGCATCTGCTCTGTGTGCTGCTTTGAAAGAAGTATTTTAGTTTTTCTGCATCAAGTACACTATGCTGTTGTACATCAGATGCCCAAAACAAAAACCAACTCATTCAATACTAAATATTCAGTACTTGTAGGTTCATTGAAAGAAATCAGTTATGTCTTAATTGCAACTTGCAAAGCAGATGCACAGCAACTACTCTACCCAAAACTGATGTTTCAAAGGACTTTTAAACTAGAATTTGAAGGGAAAAAAAAAAAGTATTCACCTCTACCTCAGTTACTCCTTACCCTGTAAGATGTGGAACAAGTCCGTGATCTGAAATCAAACTTCATCTTAATTATTCCACAATACCACATCTCATAACTTTTTAAGCCATAAACAGGAAATATCTTCTGGCAAGGCATCTTCCATTAAATGTAGCTAAAAGGTGAATATAGTCACATATACATAACTATGGAGACACATGCATCCAGTAACTAACAAGCATGATAGCTGAGTATGTGGCTTAACATTAGAGTTCCCCTTCTGCAGCTATTCTGTATAGTGACCTGTAACTGTCATTCACGTGGTAATTATTGAAGATATCTTATATTATTAACAGAAATAAAAGTTGTAACCAGGGGTGGTGTGGAACCCAAACATCATTTGCAGTCAAAACGGAACTTAAGCAGTACTGAAGAGCTGTCTGTTACAAGCACTATCACAGGTAGTGTTAGAAGTCATTAAAATACCGACTGGAAACACCAGAGTCCATTTGAACAATTTATTAGTATCTTCTTTTTTTACAAGTTTTAGAAAAAGAATCCCAGGATTTTGCCTCCTGTGTGTTTTCGCCTAGCCTCCTCATGGTCCATGATGCCAGCTGAGGTTGTCAGTACAATGTACCTATTAAGAAAGAACAAACGTTCAATTTATCATAAGTTCTGTTCTATGCCCGTGCAGAGTTGACAGCACTAACTTCATTTCTGTATTACAAGCCTAAGTTCTGTTTCTGTAAGAATAGGCCTAACGGAACTAAGATCAGGTTATTAGACAATGAAAAAGAAACTCCTCTCACCAGCACAACTCTGCAGCACACAAAGGGCATTTATAGGCATCTGTTCTCCAAATATTAGTCTAAGTCTCAGCAAGACGTTTTCTTCCATTCTCACTGTAAAGTCAGTTCAGTTGTTGTAGCAGTAGCAACTTTATGGAAGCAGACTTGGTCTAGAAACTATTTTAAGCAGACATTTTTCTTCAGAGCAGGTAGAGTTGCCATGGCACCAGACAGCTCCTCAACTTTGTCTCTCAGTGTTTTGAACACTGTGCACTGATGCAGATGAGTATCTGGATCCGGACCGACAACTGAAGCAGCCTTAGTCATTGCTAATGCCAACATCTGCATTATCAGCATACTTCATCCACACAGCTTCGTGTCTGAGAACCTCTTGTTCCACCACTCTACGAACACTCTTAGAAATATCAGTATGGCTACACACACTAGTAAGAGGCTTATCAGTGGAACTTTAAGAACAGAAATGGCAAGGAATTGTTAATCCAGACTGGCTGAGCCCCTGAAGACTCTTCTAGCTCTGTCATACTGGGGCACTGAGATTTATTACTCTTGACTCAGTGAATTGTGGGAAAGAAACCCATGCTGCATAATAGCAAGATCTTCTGTGTTGTGGAGGTTTGTTTAACAGAGGCTCCAAGTCTCTCGCCACTGAATATCTAAACAATTTATACACAACCAGGAAGTTTAATTTCAAGTAGCACGACTTATTCCCATTGACCTGGTAAATTAGATGACTCCTCCCCCATCTACAATTGGCCATTAATAAAATTCAAACGAGTAAGGGAAAACTTCTATTTTCCCAGTAAACTGTAGAAATGGGAAAACCAGGATTTATCAAAGCCAAGCAAAAATAGGTCCTTGCTTAGCAGTGCCCCTTTAAAGCTGGTTAAAAAGAGCATTTATAGGGAAGATGGATTTTTAGACTGGTATCTACCTCCAGACTGATCAGAGAGGAAAGTTGTCAGGTGAGCCTAACTCAGGCAGTATGAAAGCTTACTAAAAAACACCGTATTTTTACATATGACATGAATTCAACTCCTCTCCATACTTACCCAAACTGACGTGAAGGCAGTAGGTTGTTCTGCCACTTTTCCAAATCCTTCAGCTGAACATCAAATCTGGGACTGATTACACCACACTATAAAACAAAATTCCATGACAAACTGAAGAGCTTTATAAACTGGATTTGTACATTTGTCATTCCAACTCAAAGAAAGAAGGTATTTAACAACTGCAATTAAAATATTTTTGGCAGCAGAAGACTAGAGTACCAAGAAGCACGCTCCATTACCCATACTATGAAAGAGCACTTCCTCTCAGGTAAGCCAGGACTCTCACACAGCTATTCAGCTGTTATTTCCTTAGCCTTGCCTCCTCCTTGCCTAAAGAGAGTGACTTACAGTGCTGCTGAAGCTAAACTAACAAATTAACAGCTAAACCTGGGAGAGCACAAAAGCATACTATAAACCACCAGAGATTACTAAGCACCCTATACCATAAAAAAAAATTGCAATTACTCCACGATATTCTACTTCCAATCATCATACATAGTTTGCAAAAAATACCTGTAGATTTTAAACAGGGACAAATTAGCATGCGTAAGAGTTATCGAAGTTTTAAAGTTAATCATATTACTTACTGACCACAACCCCTACTACCACCTCCAATTATCTCACTGGCTCCAATTATCTCAATATCCAAAAGGAAAACAGAAGTACATTTTGAGGGACATTTTGCTGCACCAAAGAACCGGTCCCCTATTACAGTTATTGAGAGAAACATTATATCCAGCTGCACCCTGCAAGATATGTTACGGAATCATCCAGGAAGAGTTCAAGGAACACTATACTCAAACCTGACACATGTTATTTTTATCACAGACACATTAACACTAGTAATTTGGGTGGTGTCAGAGTTCTCTGCCTACTACACTCAAGCAATTTTCAGCTGCAATATTTGTTCATTGTGGAGACAGCCCCCAACATACTTTGACTATTTTTTTTATTTCTTTAGTAAAGAGCCACCACTTGAACAGCTTAACTGGAAACGATGCACAGCAAGTCATCACAGAACTAGACAGCTCAGTATTTTGAGACAAAATAATTTTTAAAATTGCCAAAATGCACGTGAATACTTCGTATGACCCAAGAACTTAAACAGCATTAATAACAAAACGTTTAATTTTGCCTCAACTGCAAGCAGAGCCCATCCAGCAGCAGCAGAAAGGCTTGTCATCTCAACATTTGCAGATATTAAACATCAACCGGAAAGCAACGGAGTTCCTATCTCTTAAGACAAGTCTTCCAGAGAGCTTAAACATCAAAGAAACAGAAATAACTAGGTAGCCAGAAAGCCTTTAAAGAGAGAAAAAAACACACAGCCCTTGCAGGCAGACCTCCCTGAACATGTCTTACATATTCAGTGTTTAACAGAAATGTAATTAGTTAATCATACTATTATGGATCTAAAAAAAAATAACAAGCAACTGATAACCACTGATAATACCTATATTACCCTCATTTACATGGATTCAATAAATACTACCTTCTTTACAAGAATTTCTTTTGGAACTGGAGCCGACAAACATTAAAAAATAAAGTCTCATTTCAACATTTTCGTAGAGAACTGAATTCAGGAAGACAAATCCTACCTTGTTGAGTCTGCCTGTGAGATTGACAACAATCTTCCCAGCTCTGTGATCATCAATTATCTCAAATTCACCAATGTAACCTACAAAGGATTAACAAACAAATCAAATACATAATACTTAGCTACATTAATAAAACTCAATTAACTACGTCACACAAAACTAGTCCAAGCATCTTGATTTACTTTTAGTCGAAAAGCGCCTTAATACAACAGCATCCACAGTTGGAGTAAGGAAAAAAACCTAGTGTGCATTCTAGACTTACCATGCTTCATCATCACAGTTAAAAACCGGACGATTACTTTGGAGCACGGCCTAATGAGAACTTGGCGTTTCCCACGTTTCTCTGCATTGTTGATGCTTTTGAGAGCATCGGCTAGAACATTCATGCGCACCATGGTGCCTGTGGGGAAGAGGAGAGGCAGTTATGCACACCAGCTTTTCAGCACAGAAATATTGAGTAGCACGCTTTTTTTGAAGCTAATTTTAGACCTAAAAGTAAGTCACTCTAAACCTTAAAAAGCATTCTTAGGCTAAAAAGCAGATCAAATCACACACTCAGATATGCTCAAGAATTGCAACTACCATAACAAGTTAGGAAATCTGACACATTTACTTAAATCTAGGTTTATCAACACACACACACACAAAGATTTAAAAACCACCATCTAGACAACATTCCATCAGTGTGACACCTTTTCCAGGTGAATCGTTCTGAACTGTAAAAGCCAATTATGCAGTATTAGCCCTGCTCAAAAACTAGGTCATATATAGTATTAAATATTCGGCTTATTTGCAAAAAAATCGCAGGATGCAAACACAACGCAGCACTCTGAAAAGAAAACCGGGCACCAACGCTTGCATTCTCGTGATAAAGACAACAGCACCCAGACTACCACCAGGCATGATGCGACTTGGTACTGTCGTCCCACTTACTGACAGAGCCACTGCACCGCCAAAACTAGCCAGAAGCGTGCTCCCGACGCGGGCCACGGGGCCATTCCCGAGATGGCCAGGTCCTGCGGCACATGACAGCTTTTACTGCAAGCCACAGACCCTCAAACGAGCAGGCCTGGCTCACTCCTGCCCACGGG